TTAATTTGTTTGTATTATTTATTATACGCCATAACATTTCTTAATTTTGTAAAAGAAGAAAATTTATAAAATATTGGATCTCATTGATCATTATTTATGTTTACTAAGCATTTTTGTTCTGGTAAAATATCAGCTTGGGTGTTGCTCAGATATTTTTATGATATCATCAGAAATAAACTTAGGGTCTTCAAACCATAATTTACAATTTGGTAGTTTTTCAGCACTGGTACACCGCGAAATAATATCGGTAGGATTATTTTCTGACTTGACATAGTGCCAACTTTGGGAAATAGAAAGCTTTTGAATTTCTGCAATTCGATTGGATACAAATACTTTAAATTTGCTAGGATCAGAATTTATCCAAGCCAAGCAAATCATGCACAATTGTTTTACCCTTTTAACCAAACGAGCTAATAATAAAGCTCTACACAATTCGAGCTTTGGTATGGTTAAAGTTTTAAGTGGTGCAACCTTTGACTAAGAGTAGATAAGTTTTGTAGAAATATTACTTGAACTATATGATTTTATATAAACGCATGCACTTGTGATGCATCCTAAAAACCATGCAATTTAAATCTAGTGGCATTTATTTGCGTCACTTGCCTGGGAATTATTACTTTGTTCAAATTTAATATTTGCCTAAATTGTTGATTGTTTCGACCTTTACTTGATGAAACTCCATATTAATAATATATGAATAAAAAATACACTGTTTTATAGTTTCACTATTTTATTTATGTTTTTTAAATGATTAATAATTGTTTCGCTACACAGTAGCTTCTTCAGAATTAGTTCAGAACAGTGTTTTTATTCCTACTGTAATGGTTCCGAAAAAGAAATACCCTGTATAAATTTATTAGAAGACATGTTTTTAAATATATTTTATTTTTCTATATTTAAAATAGGATTAAGTAATAAAACTTTAGTTTAAGGCAAACAAAATTTCAAATGTAGGTGGAAAATTCGCTAAGCTGGAGGAAGAGCACATGTGGCGTACACATTGGGCGAGGAATTTCCACCAGAGGTAAACGAAGAAGGTTTTTGAAAAGGAGAAATGAGGCAGAAGCATTTTGAACTTGGTTCAGTACAGTTCGTTTTCTTTGGCAAAATTGTAAAAGCAAATTATTGTTCTAAAATCATTGTTAAAAGTGTTGTTAGTTACAAGGTTAGTTCTAAATATTTAATCTATTTAAATGTGTAGTAAAATTAACTAAACGTAATATTGTGCATTTTTTAATTGTTAATATTATTATTATATGATTATTGCTATTATGAGTATATTTATCCTTTACTATTACGTTTAGCTGTATTTTACGTTATTTTTAACCCTTTTCTTTTAGCTATTACCACCCCTATTTTCGCTTTTACTATTATCACCATAATTTTAATACTTTGCTATGCTCAATGCTTGTACTGCTCAAATGTAACCTTGTATTTTGTTTGTGCTTAACCCACCATTTTGTACCTTTTCTATAACGTGGTTAAGCATTGTTTTATGATCAGTTCAAATTTATTGATGTATTTCGAAATTACTCGGTGCTGACCGTTATTGTCCAACTTTGAGTACTCTTTGTTTGTGTGCGTGGGCCTTTGTTGTATGAACTAATATTTTTCTCCCGTGAGGGGAACATGTTGCCCTAGGTCCTCTAGGGTTGCATCGCTTTTCCCCGACCCTTCAACTAAAATAGGCGGGTTGCCTCCCTTTTGTGTACCCCGTTACATTCTGGGCCTAGCCCGGCTAACTAACACCAATATTCTTTAGTTTTAAATCTTTGTTTAAATGCAGTATCGAGCCATATCGCCAATACATTAATTTGCGTAATTTTTAAAGTACAATGCCTGACCGCGTATTCCTTTGCTACTTCATAGCCAACCAGGGTTTTTTCTCAGGCTTTTTTTCCCTGGCCGAACCCTCCTAAGAGCCACCCCTTGCTTGTTTGTAAAAAGTTAACGTAAATTTAATTGGGGTAAACTAAACCACTGTATTTTTTTTCTTATAAACCTATTTCTCCCACGTATCATTCTTAAAGCAATGCATTTAATAAAACAAGTAAGTAAACACAGCGTAGAGGTCCAAATTTAGGTAAGACGATCACGAGCCAAAGCCACAAAATATTTAATTTATCAATTTTTCATAAAACTTGTTTTAACGAACCTGGGGGTAAAGAGAAATCTTTACAATATATTAATAATATTTGCGTTTTAAATGTTTCAAATTTGGTGTATAAATTAAGGGGAATTGATTCATACCAATCCAGATTCAGTTTCCATAATTCTTGTAAAATAAGTTTACCATTTATTAAAATTGGACCAATGAGTCCTAAAGGGTCAAAAACTTTAGAAATAAATGACAAAATTGTGCCTTTTGTAATTTTAATAAGCGAAAATACTTCATCATGACGTATATATTTAAAGCTATCCTCATTAGAGTCCCACAGGACACCGAGTATCTTCTGCTCTTTATTATCAGTCATTAAAAAATTTGAATTTTTAACAGAATTTGAATTTGATTTTGATTTTTTATTTATGTCTGAATATAATAATGCTTTTATTATTCGAATTCCATTTGCGCAAAGAGAATCCAGATTGTTTTAAAATGTTTGAAATATCATTTTTTAACTTCAACGCTTCACTAACATTATTTCAACCTGATATGAAATCATCTACATAAAAATCATTTAATATTTTATGACAGGCATATATGGGAAACTCGCTTCAAAACTAATTGTCGATTGTTGAAGGCTTTTTGTAGCTACATATGAGGCAATAGCTGTGCCAAGATCCGAATGTGGATCAAATAGCCAAATTATACGTTGAAAATGCTTATCTACATCGTCAACATTAATTTGTCGATACATTTTTTCAACATTTCCTGCGAGAACAAAATTGTACTGCCGAAATCTAAGAACGATTGAAAACAAATCTTGTATGACCGGACCAACCTTTAATGCATCATTTAACGATAAACCTGACTCTGATTTTGCAGATGCGTCGAACACTACACGCAACTTGGTAGTTAAATAATCTTTTTGCACGCGGTGATGTGAAATATAATAAATATAAGGTATGAAAGGTATGAAAATATATTTTCATACCTTTCTGAATTTAAATCAATTTTAGACATATGGCCCAGATTTAGGCATTCAGTAATAAATTCATGATACAACAATTTAAGATTGGGGTTTTCATTCAACATATTTTTGATGTTTTGTAAATTTGTGCCCACTTTATTTATATTATTTTTAAAAGGCAATTTCACAACAAAAGGACCCTGCTTGTCCTTGAAAACAGCATTAAGAAAATGACCATGTACTTCATATTCTTGAGTAGAAAAATTTATTGATTTTTCAGGCAAATCTTCGACCAACCAAAACTTTTCCAGCAGATTATAAATATTATTTGTCGCACAATGCATTGACATTGATTGTTTACTTGCAATGTTGGTAACACCTGAAACAACCCAACCTAACTGTGTTTTCTGCAACATTGGTTGGTCTTTGATCTTAATTTGACCAGCGCAGAGTAGTTCAAAGAAAATACCTGCCCCAAGCAAAACATCAACCTTATTAGCAATATTTAATTTAGGATCTGCCAAAGTTATACTTTTCAGAACATTAACATATGATTTATCAAATGTTTGACTTGGAATATTTCCTGTGATATTTTCAATGATCAAGAAAGATCATTTATTTTTATATGAATTGTGAAGAGATTCCAGTTTGGCATTTGTAATTATGAGAAACAACATTAGGCGATTTAATAATTCCTATAATTGGAACATTTATTTTATATTTTGATACATTCAATTTTTTACACAAATCTTTGGAGATAAGTTAGTTTGGGACCCTAAATCAAAGAGCGCTCTGCATTTAACTTTCTCCACAGTTGAACTATAAAGATATATTTGGGCTGTTTGAAGCATTATCAATGATTTTATCGGGTATATACAGTGCGAATTTATGCTGCACTCCTCATTATTTATTGAATTGGCAATATTTTTGTTCATAGGCAAAGCATTTTGGCTTTTGTTTTGCGGGTTTTGATTTTTATTTTTAACATTTTTAAAATGTAATTGCTTGACCCTGGTATACCGATAAAAAGGTTTGCAAGGCTGCAATAAAATATTACATGCGAGTCATTACAAATTTGGCACTTTGGTGCACTACAGTATTTTCTGCGGACAAATATGTGTATGATTTGGTAGCAGATGATTTAACCTCTTTTACTTCAAAATTATCCAAAGTTTCATACTTATTTGTAAGAAACTTAAGCAAATCATCCAAAGTTGGAATAAATTTACCCTGTGAGCATTCCCATTCTTTTCGTGTCTCTAAATTTAACTTAAAAGAAAGAAGATACACCAAAATGGCATCCCAATGATTTACAGCTGTTTAAGAAAATTAAACATCTGTATTTTGAGAGAGAACACGTCAAGAAATGTTCGCAATTGAACATGGGACTCTTTGTAAAGCTTTGGCAAATCAAGAATCCTTTTAATATGCGAATTAACAATTAATTTATTACTTTCAAACCTCTTCTTTAACAAATCCCACGCAATAAAATAATTTTCAGTTGAAACCTTTAATGATTGAATAACACAGGAAGCATCAAAATTTAGGGCCGACTTAAGATAGTAAAATTTTTGATATTTGTAAGATGCGTATTTTAGTGTATAAGTGCATTAAACAAATCATAAAACTGCCTAAACGAGGAACAGAAATGAGATTCATGTACGGACCTTATGGCCTTGTAACAATTCCTAAAAACCTTCAACACATCGCACCCCACAGTACTGCATTGTTTTAGCTGGCATTTGGGTGTATAATTAATGTTTCGGTCGATTCGACCGAGGTGCGAGTGATAACGTTGGCAATTTTCTTTTCGGTAAGTTTGTGACTCCCATTAGGTTTTTCAGATTATTTATGTTTCTTTTAGGATGGGAGACCAAGAAAAATATATTTCTCGCTTACAAGCGCTGCTTGATGAAGTGGACCTTAAAGAAGATCCGGGGGGGCTGAAGATGACGAAGAAGATAATGTATCCGATAGTGAACATGAAACAAATTTAAAGCAATCCGACGACGATAATGTTGCCGTTATAGATAATTATGTCGCCAGTGAAGGTGAGGAGGACGAAAAAGAGATGGAAGTTAAGAACAGTACCGATGGTATGAATAGTTACAAGTTAGAGAGAGATTCCTCCCGTACCTTATGAGAGAAAAAAAGCCAAAAATGTTAACAGTTTTCATGAGGGTCCGACATGCTAAATTAGCAAATACTCCAGTTTCTGCTTGGAAATTATTTTTTCCCGTATTCATTCAATCTGTACGGGAAAATTATACGAGAGGACGAGATGCTAGAGATACCAAATATAACTGAAATAAAAGCTTTATTTGGTGTCCTGTAGATGGCTGGTTTGTTGGGCTCATGTCACCTAAATGTTACAGATCTATGGGAAACCGACGGAACGGGAGTTGAGTATTTTTGGTGTGCAATGTCAAAGAGTCGATTCCGCTTTCTACTTCTTGCTCTGAGGTTTGACAATATTCATAACCGAGTGCTTCGAAAGACCACCGACAAACTAGCACCCATATGGCAAATTTTTGATGGATTTGTTTAACGGTTCCAACAAAATTACGTCATTGATGTAAACGCAACAATAGATCAAAGACCTTTAGAGGTAGATGTGGCTTTCGCCAATATATAAAAAGTAAGGAGTGTTGATTGGGTTATTGAAAGTTTTTGTTCGGTTATTCCTCGTATACTAACATTTTCTGGAATTCTAGAGCGATAATTTTAAAAAGTTTTATTTTTGAAAATTGAGATTCCTGCGCCTGTATCAATAAGAAGTTTACATTGTTTATTTGCGTTTTAAACATAGTATAGATTTTTTGAACTCATTGTTAGTAAAGGGTTTACATGAAGGTCTGTTCTGGGGTTTTTGATTCTCAAAGATCCTTATTCTGTATCTGTGATTGTAGATTTTTTAATGTGTTCGGGGATCGAGTGTTTGCAGAGGGTTTGTCTTGAGCTGGAATTTTAAGAATACTCATAAATTTCAGAAGGTCATCGACAAGGTTTTAGGAGTCTGGTTGTATTCGAATTCTAAGGGTTGATCGTCTTAATAACAATCGCAGTAATTATCTGGATATTCTTCCTGTGAAGAAAATTCTTCAGCATAACTAGGGGTTTAGTAGTGTGCTCTATGTTGTTAGTTTAAATGACAGAAGGTCTTGATTGGAATTGTTTTGGTTGAGAGTTAAAATTTGGTCGGTTTGTAAATCGCCGACGGTGGTCTAGTGGCTAGTGCTGCTGACTACAAGCCGGAGGTCGTGGGTTCGAATCCCACCAGGGGTATGGCTGTTTATTTGTGTTGTCCTATTGTGTAATAGTCCTTCGGAGGGGAGTTTAAGCCCGCGGTCCGTTCCTACCCCTAACCCGCACAAGCCATTCAGTTGGCTTATGGGACTTCTTAAGAAGTAAGGGTGGAACTAAAAGAGCACTTTTGTATATAAACTTTTGTATATAAACTTTTGTATATGATTATAATCAACCCCAACAATTTTAGTCAAACATACCAAATTTTAACTAGCTATATAATTACACTGTGCACGAAAATGACAAGTTTTTTTTTCTACAGAGGGGAGGCATATGTGATAAATTCAATTCGGGCACGCTGAATCCAGTGGTGATGGCCGTTTTTCGAAGTTCGAAGCGATTTTTTTCGGCGGTTTTCAAAATGGATTATTTTTGAGGTCACTTTTTAGATGTTTTGATTTCATTCAAAATGTGTTTTTGGGGGTTTTTTGGTATGATAAAACCGAATATGACAATATTTTTGTCATACAATTAAGGCAGTTCCCGTAAAAAAAATTGTAAAAATGTACCAAAATTGGCATTTTTTAAACTTTTACTGAATTTATCTTACAAAAAGTTTTTTTTTTTGACACAAAACATAAACAAAAACCAAATTTAATGTTGAACAAAATTATTGAGATTTTTTTTAATCATCCTGTTCTTCTTGCAAATTCCAGCAAATATCTTCCAAAAGTGCATCGAGTTTCTTCCCACTGTACCAATGTTCCAATCTGGCTGTTATTTGATGAAACCTCTCGCCGTGCTCGTCCGATTCATTCGGTGACTGTTCCGCAAATTTGTCAATATGGCAATGAAGGAAGTGAATCTTCAAAGACATATTCACATTCATATTGTGAAATGCGTCGAGCATGTTTTGGACATGAATTTGTCAATTTTCTGCCCGATGAACACCAAGAACGTTTTTAATCACGGCTTTTATAGTGTCCCACGCTACAAACTCGACATTACTTAGCGCAGCTTCAAATTGTTCGTCTCGCATTAATCGGCGGATATCTGGACCGTTTAGAATCCCTGTAATACATAAAAAATCATGATAGAAATTTATTACAATTAAATTGGTATTATATACAGGGATGGTAATGGGCTTTTAGGCCGTTTAATAAACAAAGATGCATGCTATATAAAACGTACGAATAAGTGAGATAAACGTATAAATAAGAGAGACAAACAACCATTGTTGACGAATAGGAGAACAAAATTCTTATTTCCCCTCTGCCATAAGCGTGCAGTACAAGATTTTAAAACGATTAAATCAAAACAATTAAACGTCCGCCAATGTTTTACTTCCCCTCCTCTAACTGCTTTACATTCCCACTACTAGATAACCTTGACGCATATTTCGCAATCGAGTGACTCGATATTATCGAGTCGATAATTTTAGTAATATTCTGTCCACGTTGGAGTGCGGACGGAAGAATTTTAAATTTCCTTTAAAATTTAACTATGATTTTGTTTACAAAAACGAATACTTATTGATTTTTTTCGAAAATGTGGAAAATAAACCATAGTATTCTTGTAATAAAAAAAACAAATATTCTTAAACAAAAAAGGTATTCTAAAATGTTTAAATAAATAAATTAAAGTAAATGTTTAAACAAAAATTGTATTCTAAAATATTTAAATAAAAAAATAAATAAAATAAATGTTCAAACAAAAATATTCTAAAATATTTAAATAAAAAAATAAATAAATCAAAGTAAATGTTCAAATAGGCCCCCAAAGGCTGCTGTACAATAGGTTAACCTATTATAAAAATTTTGTCGTACATTTGACAGCATCTCAGGTCTGATATTCCTTAATGTATTAATTATTAATTCTCTTAATTCATCAAGGTTATTTGCCCTGATATGCTGGAATCCGTACATTTTGGATTTGGCATATCCCCACATAAAAAAATCGCACGGAGCCAAGTCCGGTGATCTTGCTGGCTTCATTTACTGGCCTTGCTTGCGGTTCCCTATTATGAACCCTATTAACACTGCCGAATGTTAAAAAATTATTTACAACATTTTGAATTCTTGCCCTTGCTGGTAAGGGTCTATTTGGGAACATATTTGGAAATAATCTTTGAATTTCTCGATCTGAGATCCCATTTAAATGCCACGTTATAAATTGAATCTTTTCTTCAAGGGTGTAAACCATTTTTATTAGAGAAATATTCCTAATTTATAACAAACGTACTACCGCTTACTTGCAACACATTCTCTTGTCTGAGGTCGGGCGATGATCGAAGCCGCGCGGCGCGGTCTGGTTTGCCCCACTACTCTTACGTCACTCCACCACTCCCACGTCTAATAATGCATTTGTCTTTATTTATTAAACGGCCTAAGAGCACATTACCATCCCTGTATACACACCTTCTTTTATTTTCATTCCGCTCAAACGTGGAAAAATACGCCGTAATTCATTGAATGTATTGCCCTCACGATCCAGTTTTTTTATAAAATTTTTCACGATACCCAATTTGATGTGCAATGGCGGCAACAAAATTCTCTCGGCCTGTACAAGTGGCACCTCAACAATGTTATGTCTGCGCAATCTTACTTCTTCGCGTGTAATCCAATCGCGTTTTTCATACTGGTCACCACGGTAGCGCGTGTCCCATAAGTACATAAAACACATGTTTTTCGTGTAGCCCAATTGCAGACCAGAGAGAATAGAAACAACCTTTAAATCTGCGCAAATCTTTCATTTGTTTTCGTTATACTTCAATAAATCGAGAATCTTGTTCAATTACAAATAGTTTTCCTTTGTATCTGTACTGAGTGCTAGTGGCACGGATTTTTTTTAAATTTGTAATGTGGAGTAGAACGGCTTTTAAGCTACTTTTGGATGAATCAATGAAGACTCTCCAATCTTCCGGGTTGTATCCGTTGTGCAAGGTGGAAACCAAACCACGAATATCATCGCAATAAGCCAGTGAATTATTTTCGATAGCTTTAAAAAAACGTGTACAATTGCGATGACGGCCGATGGATCCATAAACGCGAGCATTTGGTGCTAAAAGATTTAATGTATGATCGCAATCAGGAGTAATATTAGTTAGCACATAGTCAAAATTACTTCCTCCTTCAACTGTTTCAGATATTGTGGATATACATACAGCTGTTGGACTCGGTCTTTTCTGTACAGGAACATTTTCTGAGTGCAGCAATGGCAACTGAACAAATTTTGTTGCTTTATATTTCATAAAAACCCCCAAAAACACATTTTGAATGAATTCAAAACATCTAAAAAGTGACCTCAAAAATAATCCATTTTGAAAACAGCAAATCGAAAAAAATCGCTTATTTTCGCTAACTTCGAAAAACGGCCATCACCACTGGATTCAGCGTACCCTATCTCCATTGACTCAAATTTCCCATGCACCCAGTACAAATAGTAGACGGAGCCCATTTTACATCACAAATAATATTTTGATCGAAGTATAGCTGGTATATTTCAATAATTTCCGCACTAATTTTACGACGATTTGGCATAATAGTGTATTTTCCACAAACATGACATTCATCCGGATTGTGAACTTGCGGATTTGTCCAGATTAGAGGAATACCAAATGGCATGGAATCGATCTTACCCTATCTCCATTGACTCAAATTTCCCATGCACCCAGCACAAATAGTAGACGGAGCCCATTTTACATCACAAATAATATTTTGATCGAAGTATAGCTGGTATATTTCAATAATTTCCGCATTAATTTTACGACGATTTGGCATAATAGTGTATTTTCCACAAATATAACAAAATCAATTAAAACTTGTGACAGAAGAATCCATTTTAAATGAAATTTTTATTCACTTCTAATAACCAGCTTTACGATTGTAAAAATAAATAAAATTTATTTATTTAATAAATAATATTATATTATTATTATATTATTTAATAAATAATACGTTTATTTAGCTAAAGGTATTAAAACGGTCAATATTTACAATAAAAACTTTATGTTTTATTGTTTTTTTTTCTCTGACCCGGCAGTGTTAATAAAAAAATCATTGATATTTCTTGTGTTATGATTATGAATTGAATTAAATATGTCAGATAAATTCAGTGAAATTTAAAAAAAATTACAATTTTGGTCAAATCGTGACCGCAACGCAAAAATAATGTCAAATTCGGTTTTCTCGTACCCAAAAACCAGCGTACTCGAATTGACTTTACCACATATGTCTCCCCTCTGTGGATTTTTGCGACTAGCACAGTGTTATTAAAGTTTGGGTTAAATTTGTTTGTCTATAGTGGTAGATTTTGATTTTGGTTGGGAGTAAAACTTGGTGTAAAATTTGGGTTAACTTTTGGACTATAATTTTGTATGGAAAAGCGTTAAGGTGAGTTTTGGGAAGGTTTGGTTTAAAGGCGGTTTTTTGTTGGTTTTTAAAATAGGAAAGTTCACGTCGGATACGTTGGTGAGCTTCTAACAAATCTTTAGGGTAGCTTGCGTGAACGATTTGACCTATTCGCGGATCTAAACCTGTTAAAAGAGTGTCTTTTTTTGTTCATTAGATTGATTGGATTTACTAATGTTTGTTTACATTTTTGCGTTTAAGACTTGAAATCTGTTAAAGTATGTTACCGGGGATTTATTTGGTAATTGTCTGAGCCTTTGTAAGTCTTGTATTAGGGAGGTTAAGTCGCGTGAATCGGCAAAGTATAGATTAAAAAGTTGTTTTATTTCCAACTATGACTTTGGGTTTCGAGAGCTAAATAATTGTGCTGCTTTGCCGGGAAGTTTGTTTTTAAATAAATTTTGCCACTATTGTAAATCGTCTGCGTTATCAGGATTTGGGGGCTATGGGGTTTACGTTAGGCATTGGTATTTAGATAACCAAACAGTAAAATATAAAAATAAGGGATAATCATGAATACATATAACGCCCGTGGAAACCTAAAGCAAAACATGAATTATGAATATATTAATAATTTTGGACGTCGGTAATATGTTAAATTTAAGTTCAAATTATTAACAAACTTATTTAAATTTTTTAAATCCGTTTATTCACTTTATAAATTGACAAAAACAATTAATGTATTTAAAACTAGGCTAATATTTTAGATTTGCAGTATTTGCATTCTTTTGACGATATTGTTTCACTAACAAAAGTAAATATTTGTTTGGTCTTTATCCCTTGTATGTAATTTATTGTACTCTTCAAAGACACCCCTCGCTCTGCAATATCATTAATAACCTTCATGGACTGCATAAGGGCCTTGCATTCTACGTAGTTTTCATCGGTATCTCAAATGTTCACTTCCATTTTCTGAAACTCTGATGAAATGCCAGTGATGTCAAAAAATCTCAATTTATTTTTGGACACAAAATCCTCTAGATATTTTTCGTGTATGACATTCATGTCAACGCTGATTAGTTTGGGAAAGTAATCTAATGCCACATTTTTTAAAGCCGCTACCATTTTTTTCTTCGTTTCCGTAGATAAATCTTGACAGTAAATACGCAAATTTTTCTTATCCCGTTTTCTTGTTTCTTTTTTAATTAAAATTTTTTCCCGAACAGAAATATTTTTAGAGAATAAATAGCCTTGGCCATCGATCACGTGCGATGAAGTCTGACAGGAGCCCTAAAAGATGTTCCTGTTTTGGGTCTGCCTCCCAAAAAATGATAGACAAGTTGAAAAGCTCTTTATAGTTATCTCTAGGCTGGTATTTCTTAAGTTGTTGAGAAAATGTTATTAACTCGGCAGCAACGTTTCCTATGTCATTGAGAGTCAAAACAACGGAATAAAAAGGGTCGAAAGATTATTTTTTAATATTGGACCAAGCGCTTTTAAACCTTTTGAATATTAAAATTTCTGGACCACTCGACGGTCCTATAGCCTTAATCACCACTGCTTCGAGCATTATCTCCAAAATGTGATGACGACAGGCTAACCAAAGAATTTTTTTTTTTATTTTTTTATTTGAGAATAATGCAAGCTCCATTTCTTTGGCCGGTATTTACTGCAGTTGTATCGAAGTACATGCATTTTATTTGGTTGCCTAGATTCCATGCGTTAATGGCATCGTAAACGGCTGACGCTGATGCTTCACTTGTTCCTCGCGGCAGTTTAGGCACAGCAAGTAATTGGTCGACGCCTTGACCCGATACTAAATTGGAAGACGATCCACCGTTTCATGTATATATATGTCCTCCATTATTTTCCTATCCCAGTGAATATATAACGACGACGAATAGTAGAACTGTTAACGTTGTACTCTGCTGGATCACATCCGACACTTTTTAATGTAATTATTAGAACTACAGTGGTCACTTAACTTAGCAATATCAAGACTGGTAGCTAAATTAGTATCAATTAACTTTTTTCTACCTTTTTTACGAGGTGGAATTCCGGCTGTTGACGGTCCTGGTATGGCGAATTCCGCAGGTACTGTATCTGAAATATCAGATGTGGATGTTGAGCTCTCATTTGGCGTTGACGAAGAAAGAACGCTCTTTTCGGTTAAAGACGGTTAAAGACGATCACGAAAACGTTGTAACTGTTCTTGTTTTTTTCTTTTTCCAGCAGTATTCTTGGAATATTTCACATCTAAATGTCCAATATAACCAGGAGGTCCTTTTTGGTGCTGTGCAATTAAAAAACGCCCTTAATAGTAATCATATTTAGGGCGTTTTTGCCACTCCTGGAAATACATTTCAATTTTAATAATAACGTGTTTCTTTAATCTTGTTGGAATACTTGCTTGTTCCCATATAGCCAAGACATCAGTGGCAGTTAAATTTGCCCTTGTTGTTCAGCTTAGTCTTGTAGTAAAAAACACACTTAGTACTTCTTGAATAAACGGCAATTTATTTTCTTTTAAATTCTGTGATGTTTGATCAAATAACCAAATGTCTATTGTTGAAACATGTGTTCACTTGACAAAGACGCCATCATGAAAATTACTTAAATTTTAAGTCTTAAATTGATGCAATACCGCGAACATTTGACTTTTTGATTTCTCCTTGACAACTCTTTATATTAGAGCAAAAAAATTTTGAAAATCAATATTTTTGCTTACCCTGTACAACTAAATGGATGTTTCTCAAGGCGAATCGTATTTATATAACAAGCAAAAGAAATTATTAAAAATGACTTTTTCTCGAAAAATTGAAAATATATATTTTTATTTCTCATTTCCAGCTCGCCCGTAAAGATTCATTTACAAAGCTTGACACGTAAATAACTATTACAAGTATAGTTAAGTCCATCCGTGGACACAGTGTATATATATTAGACTGGTTCAAAAAAATCGAATATTTTTTTTTCTTCAAAGCTCGCATTGAAATATCTTCCTAGTAGTGAAAAAAGAAGCCTGTAAAAATTGTAGATCTTAATATTAATATTTAGAGGTCGCTCACCGTGAATTTCTATTTTACGTTTAAATAACACAGGAATTCTTTTTTCTTAACTTTGAAATTTTATAACTCGTTTTTGAGTGAACATATTGGAATATGCGACACATATTTTTAAATAAAATTGAACGCTCTACAAAAAATGTCTCTTATAATTTTTTCATAAATTCACTTCTTTTATAGTTATTCAAGGTTGAAATTAGACATATAATAAATTTAACGTTTTTTTTTTCAATTGGTGGCATAATAATAAACCTTATCACTTATTATTATTGTACAGGATGGAATGAAGCACTAAATCAAAATTTTACATGAGTAGTTTTTTTCTCTAAATTAAACAGATAATCTAAAAATGTGTTTATTATAAAAAAAAATTCCAGTGGCGCCTAAGGTGAAAAGAGGAGTAGCCCCCCAAGTAACTGCTCCACTGATGTTTTTTTAAATAATTATCCACATCATTACTGACATTGACTATATTGTGTACAAAATGTCCACTCAAAAAAAAGTTATAAAATTAAAAGTAAAAAAAAATTCCTGTTATTTATTATATGTCTATATTATATGTCTAATTTCAACCTTGAATAACTATTAAAGGAGTGAATTTACGAAAAAATTATAGGAGACATTTTTTGTAGAACGTTCAATTTTGTTCAAAAATATATAGAGTTCATTCCAATATGTTCACTCAAAAACGAGTTATAAAATTTCAAAGTTAAGAAAAAAGAATTCCTGTGTTATTTAAACGTAAAATAGAAATTCACGATGAGCGACCTCTAAATATTAATATTAAGGGCTACAATTTTCACAGGCTTCTTTTTTCACTACTAGGAAGATATTTTAATGCGGGCTTTGAAGAAAAAAAATTATTCGATTTTTTTGAACCAGTCTAATATATATATATACATATATATTTGTAAGGTAAAATTTGTGGGTAAAAGGCATAAGGGGATATGTCAAAAATGGCAATTTTTCGTTAGAGACTTAAACGTGTTCTCATTAATTCAGGAAATATATTTATATATATGGTATGGTAAATAAAAATAAAACACAAATACTCACAATGACGCCCAAATCCAGCTGAATATTCGACCGCCGGATATGCAGCTTCGAATCTTGTCAGGATATCGGATATCAGCTATCCGTTTTATCTTTAAATTAAAATAATATTTTAAAGACATGATTTAGGAAAAATGTATTTTTTAAGTAAAAAATGTTGTATGTAAATTATGTTTTTATAAATTTCAGAATTCGTTTCAGAACATCAAGTTTAACAAAAGTTTTACAATCTCTAAATACACGTATTAAACTTTGAAAAAATAGTAAAAATCATATTTCATGCATAAAAAATTTACTTTGGAGGACGAAAAAAATGTATTTAAAAAATTAATGTTATTTAGCTTAGTTTCAAATCATCAAACATAACAAAATTGTTCGTGTTGCTCCCATTTTAACAAAACACGAAAACCATGCATCTACCATAAATATGCATAATATACGTGATCAAAATTTTAATCAATTGATCGTATTTATAATACAAAGGCGATTGTACTATTAAAATTTTAGTAGTTAAACTTTAATCACGGAAGAGTGCAATTAAAAATATGTGTGGAAATTCGTTAGGTTTTTTTTTGACCATTTTGTTGATCGGGTGTTGTATAGCAGAGCAAATAGAGTTACAAGAAAAACTAGAAGACCATGTTTATATAAATCGAGAACTTATTGAAGAAGGTAAAAAACATATATATTATATTTTATTTAAAAACTTATTATAATTGGTATTTGAAAAAACTTTTTTATCAGCACTGATTAAATTTGGGAACTAGCAAAAACAAATCTAAAAAATCCAAAATTAAAATAGAGAATCTATCGTCAGACCTAACTTTTACAGATTTTGACGTTAAACAAAACTGATATATAAATATGTATATTAGGGTGCTATTGCAATTAAATTTCCTACAAAAATACCCCTATATGGATTTTCTGAGGTGCGTAGTCCAAAAGGTATAAACAGTTTAATGTATTAAAATCTAAAAAAAAATATGAAATTTTAATTTTTATTAAAGTATTTTTCAACTTACGCTTTTTTTAACAAAATTAACTTCATTTAACTTTTTCAACGCCTTATCTTCAAGAATAAAATGTCTGTGAATTTCTGATGTTTATTGAGTGTTAAATATTTTTTTCTTCTTAGTATAAAATTTACCAAAATTAACTTAAAAAAAAATAAAATTAATCATTTTTTGCACCTGTAACTTTTATTTCTATCTACGGCACTGTTAACCTTAAAAAACTTTTATAATTTTACGGCGGGAAAACAATCAAGTAAGCTCTGATTAAAACTGTTTCAATCTAAGACGCTTTGTTCCCTACATCATACGAACAGAGTACTCTACATCATACGCACAGAGTACTCTGTGATCATATGTTTTACTTACCTTGTATCATGCTTAAGTACATTTGAAAACTCCACGATAGTAAAATCAGTGTTATATTATAAAAAAAACATTTATTACTTCTCGATGCGTAGCTAATCTATTATTATTCAACTTATCAATTACAAATCCTACATAATAATTATACGTTTTTTTAGTATACTACTTTAATCAAGTTTATGTGTTTTTTGTTTTAATTTATTTGGCACATAAGAAGCCATTAATCACTCAAGTTACGATAAACATTAGGCAAAAGAAACCATCCTAAAGAAATTTATTTATTTATGTTTACATCTATAGATTAGACGTAAGGGGTCATAAATTAGGTAAAAACCGAATTTCCACATAGTCAGAGGGCACTAATTACCGCGGGGTGCGGCCGGAAACACTTCGGTTCTGAAGATAAGATATATATAATATCGCACAGGGGGGCAATCAATTCTAAAGCGGCTATCAGGAACCGAAATCCGACTCGGACAGCGACGAACAGGAAGTACACCATCAAGGAAAGGCGCTAGCAGCATACTAATCCACCTACCCCCCTCAGGAATACCAAATAAATGGGGTTATTACTAAAGCCCTGGTTGAGGAGAATTCCGGATTGTACTTAGTTTTGGGTCAGTTCAATGTCCTCCAAAAACCCTTCCCAAACTGGACGTATGGCCCGACCCGGCTGACAAAAATCCGTGGAGCGGCCTTAACCTTTGACACTGTCATCCACGACCTCCTAGAGTGGATCTACCAGCCGGCGTAAAAAATTCTGATCCAACAAACACAGGTAATGCTGTGATTTGGCGGGATACGCAGGAGAACGGAAAGGGGGTAAAATAACCCCGGGAGATTAGTGGAGAATAATATATTTGGGGCCTGCCATACGTTCCCATACTCATACTCATACTCAATTTATTTGTGTGCTTGTTATGTGTCGTTAAAGTTATAATATATCCTCCAACATAATGTCAAATTGAGCATCAATTTCATCTTATCTTTCTGTCTCTTCTTCTTTTATACCATTATGAGTAAAGAAATCGGTAAAAAAAGTATAATTATTTATAAATAAAGTAGAACTAAATATTGAAATTTAATTGTTGAATACAAATTTATTCTTTTAAATGTACGTAAAACGTATGATGTAGAGAACAAAGCGTCTGCGTATGATGTAGAGAACAAAGCGTCTTAGATTGAAACAGTTCATCAGAGCTTATTTCATTGTTTTTCCGCGGTAAAATTATAAAAGTTTTTTTTAAGGTTAACAGTGCCGTAGATAGAAATAAAAGTTACAGGTGCAAAAAATGATTTTTCTAATTTTAAATCTAATTTTGGAGAACAAAACAAATATTTTACACAGTAAATATCAGAAATTCACATGAGACATTTTATTCTTAAAATTTTTTTTCAATATCTCTTCCCGATATTAAAAAATTAAATGAGGTTAATTTTGTTAAAAAAAGCGTTGAAAAATCATATAGGTAATAAAAATTAAAATTTCATATTTTTTTAGATTTTAATACATTAAACTGTTTATACCTTTTGGACTACACACCTTAAAGGGAAATCCTACAAATTGTTTTCTAACAATTTTTTTATAACTTTTGTTGATAAGAACGAAAATATAACAATTTTTGAGAAAATTGGGCTTTCAAGGTCGACACCGATGAGACGGGTTCAAGTACAAAAAAATGTTGGTGG